CTAGTCTGATCTGCTCCCGTCTGAGCTCTGATTACTGGATCTCTCTGAAACTTTTCTCATCCAAGACTTCAGAGCCTGTTGCTATTAAACTTTTTTCCTGACAAATATATTTATAGTTTGTGATAAGTTCTCTTAATTTTTTTTTCTATTTTTCAAACGCTAATATTAGGACTGAAATATACTGAAACACTAATATTAGAACTGCTACCTGGAAATGTCCTATTAACAGCATTTCCAGAGGTACAACCACTTCTCTACTTCTCTTCAGTGTTACCTTCAGTCCTACACACACTGCATCTACACTCCACAGTGGACCTCACATATGATGCATTCATTACAATTGGCTTGAGATGTTGATGCCCCAATCTAAATGATTTGGTCAGCCTGGCCAGGGCGAGGAAGATATACAGCACCCTTACGGGTGCTGCACTCATCTGTATATATTTTCAGGTGTCAGTTCATCCTGACACATCCCTGAATGCGCTTGTGCTGCTCCAGGATGCTTTTCTAGGCAAGTTGCAGGAGAATTTGCCTGTGCTTATGGGCCCATGGCAGAACTGTGGGAAAGCCCTGGAGAGCAGTCAGCATGGAAATGGCTCTCTCTTCTTTTGTCCTCTCCACAAAGAGAGGCCAGCTGAAGTGGAAAGCTGGATCTGGACTCTGATCCCAGTCAGATTGATTAGTGTCAGATTGAACGTCAGGAGAAAGAGGAGCAACAGCAAGGCAGAAGCATAGTTGATGCCACAGTAATATCTGAACTATGGCTTAACGTGAGATTGCAGTCCCTTCTATAATTTTCGTACCTGTGTTGTAGAGGGCAAATCTGAAAATCAGAGAGCATTTCTCCAGCCCCTTGGGCTGGATGGGACCAGTCTGATAAAATTTTTCTCCACAGAGTTTATTTTGCTGCTTGTCTAGAGGAATTTTTCTTTTGTCTACCGTTGGACAGAATCACTCTCGCAGGGAGGTCCTTGCAGCAGAATAAGATTCACCCTGCAAGGGTATCACAACGCAGCATTAGAGACACCAGCCCTGTTGGCAAAGGTGCTCTGCTTTTAACAGGGAGAACGGAAAGCTGGAACACCTTCTTGGAGTAAAGAGGCAGGTGTCAGTGGAAAGAAAAAAGCTTTTGTTCTCATTGGCTGTGCTTGTCTGAATGGAAAATCCAGGCAAGGAGGGTTTAGAGTCCATAGTTCACAATGCCAGTTCTCTTGATTTCTAATTTTGGAACAAAGTGCTCCTCACCACTGCTTTTCCTAAACACCCCTGATACACACGTTTTCAGAGTGTGTTTTCATAAGGGCTCACAAAAGCAGGGATGGACAACATTTACATGCAGAATCTAAGAAAGAAAGAGAAACAACTGTATAAATAATAAAAAAAAATTAACTGATCCAAATACAAGCCTTTATTATCCAGCTGAACTAGAGGGTGGGAGCAATCAGCACTATATTAGAAAGCATTAGTTTGAGCATGCAACGGGATTTGCGTTCTCTTGCAGAAGGTCAAAGGAAATAAAACTAACCTCCAGTGATGTAACAGGAAGGTACTGTGCTGGGAATAAGGAGGCCCGGCCTTCTGGGCTTGAGCAAACTATTTGTCTTGCCACCACTGTAGTATGAATTGCAGTAATATTGTACACCTTGCATCCATCTACACAACACAGAAAGCTAGCCTAGGCTCATTTGCTTTTCCCCTGCTTTCGTTTCGTGCTTGGCATATCAAGAGTTTCAAATCTTCTCTCTTCTGTTTATTGCTGTTGCAGAGGGTTCTGTTTGGTGGAAACCAACCTCCCTTGCCAATGGGAAATACACCCTCAGCCCTTTCCAGACTTTTCAGTAGGGCTCGCACGCACATTAAATAAGACCTCTTTAAGTTGCAGTGCAAGTGGGTGGCTGTCTAGCAGCTATGAGTAAGCTATGAGAGGATGTTATTACTGCAAGACTTGGCTCAACTTAATGTCAAGCGAGATACTATGTGGGGGAGAACCTGACTGCAAACAAAAGAGAAGTCAACCGCATGGTTTGTCCTTCTCCAAATGAAGGCAAAGGTAATCAAGGAAGATTTGTAAACTGGATTCACAAAACCCCTTCATTTTTGATATGATAAAGGGAGATAGATGTTTGTTCCTATAGCATGTGCATTGTAAGCTAACAGTGTTTTCCCTGGGTGCTAGTCAAAGTTTTGGCTGAGCTTTTCTTTCACCAACCATGAGCCCTCTGAGATGAGTCACTGGTTCTTATAGAGGTTGCAGTCTGGTGAGCCAGGAAAAGGAGCCCTTGTAACATAAGGAGGGAATCAGGAGATTGTGTGTCATGTGAGTCACATGGGAAATCAGCATCATTTCCCTTAGCCAGCAAACGCAGATTGCATGCAAAGGACCTGCAGGCCTGGAACACCAGGACTCCCTGTTTAGTGGGGTTTGGGTACCACAGTCTCTGATGAGCATCTAAGAGTCAGAGTGCGGTTCCACCAAAAGCAATGACTCTGGCAATGCAGATGCTTAAGTGAGCTGCAGCAATTCACTTTCATAAACCTCAAGCCCCAAATCATCACCAGCTCTCTGCTGTAACATGTTAACCCCTTCTCCATCCTCCCACACCCCAAGAGAACCAGTGGAGTTACACAAGGGGAGGATGTGGCTAGAGACCTCTGCGAGGGAGCCAAGCAGTTTTTTGCATTTCCTCTTATTATGAGAGCGGTTAAATGGAAAAAAAAAAAAAAAAGGATCCCCAAGGACAATTCAGTGAGTAATCCAGACTGAGTAAGGGGAGGTATGATCATTGGTGTTTGAATTAAGGAAACTATAGGCTGAGGCAAGCCTTTTCACTTCAAGCACTGCTCCTAGTGACGGGAGTCAAAGACATTGCTGCCACTCTGAACTGGAAACTCACCTTTTGTTAGTCAAATAACAGCTGAGTAAGCTACCTGGAAGGCTGGCTTGCACACGACTTGACAAGGGTGCAGCTATATTGCACCCTTGGCATTTACTGGATAAATAATACTCAGAGCCAGACCAGCAGGGCTCAGTGCACAGGGGTAGCTGTTGCAGAGGAGGGGTGGATTTACTGTGGTCGCATGAAACTACCAGCTGTTGCCACCTGGGAGAAAGCAGCTCGGCGGCGTTTCCCATTTCATCCTGCTCTGAAGGGCAGTGCGCAGGCTGTTGGGCAGCAGGGTGGTAGAAGAGAGCTGCCAGTGCAGCGTAGCACGGCACTTTTGAGTGAAGTGGCTCCCAGCAGATGTTATTTGGATGATTTAAAAAAAAAAAAAGAGAGAGAGAGAGATTATGGAGATTAAAAAAAAAAAAAAAAAAAAAGGGGCTCTGGG